CAGCGCCCAAAGTGAGCTATACTTAGGGGCCACAGGTTCATCCTAAAAAGGAATCTCATTGTCAAAACTATTCTTATCGTGAACTGTGCCTTCACGCAGAAAAAGGCGGTATTCCGTCTAAAATGGTCAGTTACCAACAACGACGTGTGGATAGATGTCTATAAAAACAGCTTAGGAATAGGGTACGAAGTTGAATAGCGTACTTAGAAATAAATACACGTCATTAACGTTGAAATAGTAACAGTTACAATAATAACAACAAGCATATTCAATGATATCGTAGTAAATATGTGTGATAGTTATACATCTTTTGTACCTGTTTTCGTATTTTTGAACGCATTGTAGCCTTCAACTCGGCCGATGTGGATGTGCGCTTGGATGATTGCGATGGAGATGGGCTGGAATTAATTTATATCTCATATAGAAGCCATTAGCTTCCGGACGACAGTTCAGGGAGGAGTGATACGAATGGCTCACGATTACTCTGAGAGGAGGTATTCTGGAACGCGTAGTTCAAGCATATTGCGTCAAAAATCTTAAAGTAAACGCCTCGAGCAGGTCAATGAGGAAGTGAAAATTTAAAAAATAGTAAAATTGAAATTTAACCTTATATTCCGACCATCAACCGAAGAGGCTTCATCGTTTTCAGCCACGGATGCTACATCTTGCGACAAGGTATTCGAAGGCTGAAAATACGTATATTTCAGCTATCCAGACTAGAAAAGAAGTGAAGACACCAGTAGGGTCCAGGGACGATTTGTCAAGCCCTGGACCCTACTGAGCCCATTATTGGCTCTTTTGTATAAAAGGGAGAAACCAACAAATGAGAATGGCTACAGTAATCTTGTCCATACATTCTGCCTGTGAAGAGATTTTTGAAATTTAAAAGAACTTACGGATAATGGAGCCACAGCAACGGTGTTGTGATCTTCGACGAGGCGATCATGAACATCTTCCAATACTTTGCCAGCCTTCAAAAAACGAATTGAGAAAAACCAGCAAACAAACATAGGAGTATATGGGGTAAGGAAGAATACTGGAGGGTGATTCTAGTTGTTTATCCGCGATTATTTATTCAGCAGATGTAAACACATGGTGAAACGCATAAAAAACAAAGAGAACACACAACTCAAAAATAAAATCCAAGTGTTGAAGCAATTAGCATCTGGAATGATGTAAACTCGCCCAAAAAATCAGGATGCGCTCGGTGTCAGGATGTCAGACGATTTTCGTCGAAGCGGTTCCAAACAAACTTTTTAGACAAATGCAAAATATTAGATCAGTACATAATCAAAATAAATAAAACTACATTAGTAAATTAGTGAATTTGTAAACTACAATTAGGCTCAAGCGATTTTTTTTCGTAAAGACGACTTGAGCGGCGCTCGCCTTTTCCGCCTATAGCCCATGGACGATAAGAGGTGCTAAAGCCCATGGATGATGGTTTGATAATACTTGAAGGCACAGTCGATAATTTTGTGGACAGTAGGATCCATCATTGCGTCCAGGAAGGCAGTTATATATTCTTGAATTCTCTGTAGCCTGAGTTATCAGAACAGAGAAGATTAGTTTCAGAGCAGTGAACCTATAGCCCTATAGTCATTCGCCTTTGACGATGTATTTCGGCTCGAAATAAGATTTTCATTGGCATGAGGTTGGTCTCAATATTCGATCCGACAAATTAAATATTACTAGTCGATCATTAGCGACTGCGAACTTCGCTGAAGGTACCTCCAATCTCTCCTCTGTAGAAGTACTAGCTAATCCACACCAAGTAGCTCTTCCGCCACCTACAAGCAGAAATTACTTGGGCACAGAAATAATGGATGCCACCTCCTTTTTCTAACAAGGACGTCACACTGCCGCTAAAAACCCTTCGAGCCCTACTTAGGCCTGCCTAGAGCCGAAAAAAATCAACCAACTAAGTTGTAGAAGGATTATTATTATTCGTCCTGGACCTATTCTAAATAAAAATCCTGTAATGAGATCCAAAACCGCCTCTGGTGAAGAATCACGCTCTTTAACAAGTTTGCAAAACAACTCCCTCGAGCCGGATTCGAACCAGCGACCTAAGGATAGCTGCCCCTCTACAGTCCTCCGCTCTACCAACTGAGCTATCGACGGTACGGGGTTACTGGACTGAGGCCAATTCGTAAATGAGGACACGCAAAAAGTGTGAGGACAACACAAAAGTCAGACTCCCTAAAAAATAAACAATTTTATTTTAGCAGAAATCCTTTTTAATCTTCTTTCTCCATTACATTCAACTGGCTCCCCTTGCTACCATCACTTTCTGAAAGATGAAAGTGCGGAGCATCCCTGTAGCTCTGCTAAACTTAGAAAATTTTCAGAAATATCCCAAATTTCAAAACAAACAATGATAATTTTCAGGTACTACAGTAACTCGATAATTTAATTTTTGTGATCAAAAAGAAAAAGGTATGTAAGACCAACCTTCATTTTGAACTTCATCAGCTGGTCTTTGAGCGATTCACGTCGATTGTGTTTCTTTTCGGGTTTTTCCTCTTTCACAGATGGCTCTTTCAGTGGATTAGAGTCTGACGAAGACTAAATGGACACATCCAGTTACTTACAGTATTGTGCTACAGTAAGCCCTCACATAAGAACCTACTTTCGTTGGAGATAATAGCTCATCGTCGGGAGATGGCCGAACTTCGCTCATGGATCGTGGAAAGAAACTCTGAAAAAGAACTGGCCGATTCCAGTGCTCCCCCTTCAAAAAAGATTTAAAAAGTAATAAAACGAAAGAACAGAAAAACTGAAAACAGAAAAAGCTGACTTTTGAGCTGTGAGCTTTTGGTTCAGGTGATTTGAGCACCTCTGGTGACTTCAGTTCCATAGAAGGCTCAAGGTTTTCCGTCCATGACCCTGACATCCGTCGGTCTGGAATCAAAAAGACAAAAAATGAAGAACCTTCGACGGATTTTAGTTCTCACTGGTTCGGATTGGAGGTAGAGGCTTTTTCCTTGCTGATGGCCAAGCTTGTTGCGTAACTTCTTCTTCTTCCATGGTTATTCACCTGCAATCGAAATCAATACGTATAGTTTGCACATGCGTGAGATGCTTATAATCAGGCGAACTTTTTAAATTTGTCGAGCACGAGCAACATCATCACATCCTGATGAGCTTCTTCAGGTATTCCACAGAGCATTTGAAGTAAATTACGCAATCGATACATATCTTTTTCACAGGAACGTTGAAAAAGCATTATAGCAGTTGACACCCACGAATTTGAGAGCTTATGTTAGGCATTAACAGGGAAATACCCACATCACGGATGACTACGTCATAAACAAGAACTGTGTGCCACAATAAAGATAGAAATTGATCGAATTCTAAAGAGAATTCGAGGATTACCGCACCTCTGTGTTGCCCCCTCCGTCCCCATGACAACGCATATGTGGGTGAGCGGATTACACAAAAGGCAGCCGGCTGCCATCCAAAAATAGCATTTGTTGAAAGGATGGTTTGACAGTAAAGCTGAGCTTAACCACTCCTTTTTTTAGTTTTGGTATAAAAATAAATAAAAAATAAAAAATAATTTGTAAAAGATTATAAAATTGTAAAAATCAAAACCAGTGTCACAAAAACAAACATTATACTCTTTTTCTAAAGCGATGCGTATCGCAAAGATCACGATTAGAGAAGGTGGTAAACCTGTCTTCAGCACTCAGACGAGAGAGTGTGCCATGAATGTTCTTTACACTTGGATTCTTGGAAGCAAGTGACTCTGATACTGATCCGACAACAGCATACGCCCTGGGAATGGGATCTAATAATGCAATTCTTATGCTCCCAGACAAGTTTCAGATTTGGTAGACGGTCATGGATGTGTGTGTGAGCTTCACCTGTCCTGAACGACCCGAGACGAAACTCGATCCCTCAGATTTTGTAAAAGTGAGAAGCGACGCCTCAACCCGGTTAGCTCTGGGTAAGCCTCTGCTTGAAATGATCAAGGGAAAGCTCAGTATTCGAGATCCTTGTTCAAATAAAAGTGGACAGTGCGTCAATAATAAGACACCAACAGAAGCTCAGAAGATCCGAAAAATAAGTGTTTTTTTACTAAGAGATTAATTTTACAAAAACATCATTTTCAGCATTGTACGAGTTGGTTTAGGGGTTGGATACCATCATCGCATCCCCAATACACTTAGCGGAGCTGCTTCTCAGAAAAGGTGTTTGACACGTCCATTAGTGGGCGTTCTTGACAGCAGTAGACGTACTTACATAACATTCAGCCTTTACTCTACTGAGCCTTTTCAGGCCATCAACAACGCCTCATACCTTCACTCCAAAACAACGTTTTCGTGGAGTGGGTAGTACTCAAGCTTTTAGTCATATTTCCAACTATGTCTTCAGATTAAAAATTCGAGGCGGTAGTGAAATTTGTCGCTATCACACACCCATGGTCCTCTAGTTCTTACGCAGTTTCGAATTGCTATGAAGACGCCCAAACTTATCATGAAGCGTTGTGTACTCAAATGACACACTCGTCTGCAAAAACTGAGTGTGTCCCACGTTCGTGGTCAACTCCGGTACCATCTGTCTTAATCTGGCCCACTAAAAAGACTGTAAGCTGTATTGTAAATAGAAGAGGCGTAGTTGGGTCACCTGTCACCCCCCCCCCCTTTCCCTGAGTGGCACAGAATGAGTTCGATTTCAGTACCACAATCGTTACTCAGCTCGCAGACGGTCTCTTTCACTCGAATTCGCTATCTGCTTTGAGTTCCAGTGGCTTTTCAGAGCTCTGCCGTACCTGACCAAAACTTTTAACAATGTTGATTTCTGAATTCTCAGGCTAAACTGTTGCTCAAGGGCTGTGTCCCGAGATCTCGTTCTGGGACCGGCGGAGTTGTTTGCTTGGAGAACGGATACATCCACGACGGTGATATCATCCTACAAGCTCGTCTACCTCTTACCTATCTCCTCAGACCGTTTTCTTCTCAAAAAGTTGTTTGCTTCGACGTACTTTGGATGAAATTTCAAGAGATCGGAGTGAAAGAGCCAATTTCAATGCTTGACGTTGAACAACTTTCTTTCCATACCTTCTGAACTTGCTCTTTTTTCCTCGCTCTGCTTATTTTTGTATTTTTGCAAATGTTCTCGTCTCCATAAGAAAGACCGATGCGCAACGAACCTCGACCGTTGATCTCTTCAATCTTTTATTCTTGTGGATTCCGCGAGGACTGACCGAATGTAAACAATCGTTTGTTGTTTGCTCACCTGCAATTTAGAGCCTTGAGTCAATCAGAAGCTGATTTTTTGTTACTATGACAACTACCGCCGCGACCACTTGATAAAAGCTACTACTAAGCCGTTCATACTCCTCGAACTCCACTATTAGACACACTCGTGAGAGCTTATTGCTTTATTGACATGCTAAAATAGCTAACTTTCTCTATACAGAACAACAGAATCCAGTTAGAACGTTGTAGTGCAGGCTACGCCATGCACTCGTCCTCAATTCGAACCCGTTGAGCTCTGCAGAATTCCATTCGATAACTCACTTTCGTCTGCAGATGTTTTAGAATTGCAGCGTTCCAACGAAAGCAACTTTTGTGGGGGTTCTTTAACAACGTTATCAGCCGGGTAAGATTAGCGCAACAGTCAGAGGCGCCACAGCATGATTGTGCTAATCATTTGATCGACTTTCTACTTGAATTCTCATGCCACTAGATTGAACCCCACCTCATCAAGTAGTCGCAGCACTGTTATCATCACATTATTACTATTATCACTATCGTTTCTGTTGTTTAAAGAAGGTGGTGTAGTGTCTGATTCCGCAATACCATATTCTTTGTCTGGGGGCTGATTGTGTTTAGGAGTAATGCCCTCCCAGCTCAACTAAATTTCCGATCCCCTGAGTCTGCTGGACTCGTTTGGGAGGATTAAACTGTGTTGTACATCGGCTAGTCATGACAAATCATTGCGTTAGTTAAATACGCGTTCAAATTGCTACTATGACCTTGAAAGTCGGATGAGGGAGGGAATACCGATATGGAACTACATAATAACGTTGAAAGGCCTACCCTTTACCCCTCCTTACCTAATGTTAACATCTTATTGCTATTATTATTATAATTATTATTATTATTTATTCGGGCGGAGGTGGTGTAGTGGCAAGTGACGCACTATATCACACGCACGGTCAGGGGTTCAAATCCCGGATCAATGCNCGCCTAGGCCAGCCAAGCCTTCCATCTCTCCGGGGTTCATTAATTGGTATCAGACTCGTCTGGGAGGATAAAAGCACTGACTTGTACATCGGCTGGCCATCATTGTATAGGCCACATACGCACTCATTACACCACTATGATTCCGAATGGAAGTCGAGTGCGGGGGCGCAATCCCTCGGGCGGGATTGATTAACGCCAAAAACGTTAACCATTTATCCTTTATCATTATATTATTATTACTGTTATTATCACTATTTATTGTTTTCTTAAGCCTCAAAAGTTTTCAAATGGGACCATTCATTAATTCAGCAGGCTAGGCTTTTGACGCCATCATCTTCTCCAGATGCCTGAATGCAACTTGAGGAGATTCACACGCTATACAGCGAGCGTACTATCCCTTTTGAAAAACGTGACAGCGAGTTCAAAACACATAGTTCGAAAAATTAATCACCACATAAGCCGACAAAATCCGCTGTCGCCTCATACTATTACATTCTGTCAGTAGCTAGACTTACCATTAGGTCTCACTTTGTCGCTTCGAATTCGCCATCACCTTTGCTAGTGGGGATAGGTCGTCTGTTGGAAATGTGAAGTCATCACGAGTTTCATTCAAATGTCTAAAAAATACGACTGTTCAATAACGTTAAGCCGTTTATTAACGAAATGTTCCACCTAGATCCTCTCGGGGCACAGGAATATAATAATTTCAAACAACTATCCGAGGATAAGGCAGAAGGAAAAATTGAAATAGTAAATTATTATTATTAGCAAATATTATGTTATATAATATTATTAATATGATTATTGTACTGCTACTTTTGCTTGGTTTGTTTTTTACAAGCATCATTGTCTGCATTGTTTATTTCTTTCGTCACCTCATATTATATTAACACTTTTCTGGTTTGTTTAGGCGCACCAAAAAGTAAATAAATAAATAAATATTATTATTATCATTACACCGTTATAGCCAATAGGGATAAATGAGTTCAACTTTAGCACGGAGCCGAAGTTTTGCTCATAAAGTGCTATCCTCAGGAAACTTTCAGTTGAGGTACTAGGCACAACTAATAAGAATCAACTTTTGTCAAAAAATATTGATGTCATTATCATTTTTAAATATTTTCGAGTATCACTATTATGGCATAATCACCATTGTATTGTTTCTAGGTTCATATTATCATTAATGAATATTATTGTGGACTATTCATTGACTATTTGATGTTATGTTTACTATTCGATCCTATAAAGCGATGGCTTTGAATTGCCAAGTAGCGCTGCTACCGCACGTTTGGTCCAAGGATCTAATTTGGCATCGATTCTCCTCACGAGCGAACTTTTCACCTTTCAAAGTCACTTGATGGCACTTGACTCACCTGAGTGGCAAGCGCCCTGAAGTGAACGTCACATGGCCCTCGAAAATCAATGTATGAGTCAAATACGTATCAAACGATTGCACGGTTCTGAATAGAAGTCAAACACATGAGCGCACCCCAAGACACGGTTGTGTACATTCCCAAGCGGTAACGATCACCCAGGAACCTTTGCCCTCTATCACACCTTTCTCGTTCCTTTTTTTACATCCCCTAGCTATTCAAGCTTTTCTTCGATTGAGTGCAGAAGCTGCAGTGACATCTCTGTGACATACAACGGTGCTCATTCAACAGTGTGTTCTTTTTGGTGTTCAAGCCATAATTACTTTGTGGAATATTTAACCTCTGAACTGTAATGCACTGGTTTTTTCTGGCTCTTAAAGGCACTGTTCACGATAAAAAACGGTTACTGAGTTCTTCCTTTGGGAATACTCAGCGCCCCCCATGGGTGGTAGAAGGGACCCTCTCGCTCCCACGAACTCGGCGCTTAGGGCATATTGAAAGCCCCGTTGCTGCCGTAGTTCGCTACACCGCCCCTCGATCGGTGTCACGTTAGACGAGTGTCGAGACAATACAGATTGCTATTATTGATGAGGCGATGTTATTCTCCCATTCTTTTTTCCTCTGTTTTTCTTTTTGCTGCCGCGATCCCTTATTTAATTCCCTACTCCTAGAGGCTGAAAAAGGTGAGCTACTTTTGCTGTTACTAGNGTTTTTTGTTTACTTATGCTTATAAGCGGATGAATTTTTGCTTACCGTAGTCAGATATTTACACCAGGACCCACACTTACGCAATGACGTGCTGTGCGTAGCTCGTCCAGACCCCACTCTTCTTCATTCTTCCGGTCTCAGCCTCGTCCAGCCCTCTTTTTGACCATTTTTCGAGGCCTTTTTTCACTTCGGAAAAACCGATCCACGCAGTTCCTTCACCTCCATCGCACTATTTTCCAACTTATCTTCCATTTTTCGTCATAACCTGGTTTACCCAAGTATCGTGAACTGTGCCTTCAAATCATCATAACCTCATCCTTCCAGTATCACCTTGGACGAACAAAGCAGAAATGGTTCCTACTACACCGTCACCTTATGTGGCTTCTTTTCAATCGGGTGCAGTAACACTACAACCAGGCGCACAGGTTCAAGCAATATCAGTCAATGGTCTTGCAGTCAACAACCAGAATGGGCTAAGTGAGTAACTCATTTTTTGTCATACATACTGTGTTGTCTCCTGGGGGAAAATTTAGAGGGCGAGCAAAGTTCGATGCAGGAGATGATCACCTATCCCCGACAATAGGATCCATTTTTAACGTACCATGCAACCTACCACTTTGCACCTAGCTAGTAGACCAATTCTGGAAGCCTAGAGGCCGACAATGGCAATGAAAAAGGACGGTACTTGCTTCCAGTGACTCCATCCACATAAGCCATATCTTTGCAGATTTCTTCTATTTGATAAAATTTCGCCTTCTCGTAAAAATCAGGTGACCAGATGTGAAACAGATAACCAATTTGAGTCCTGTTCGAACCTTCTCTCATACCAAAGCATGTTTTGCTAATGAAAAAATCAGATTATTGTTCAACCTTTAGCGAACTCGAACGCATGGCGTATCTCGAAGGGCTTGAGGAAATGTCACACACTTTTTCTCTTGACATACTTTTATTGCCACAAACTATACCACAGATGAATATTCTCGGTCTATCCCATTTTATAAATATGTCGAGTCGAACACCAATCATCGAACCCCAACATGATGAGGTCGCATTAGGTCCAACCTCAGCCAATTTAGAAGCTGCTAACAGGCCAAGGGGCAGTTCAACAGTGAAGGTACAGCCAAAAATGTGGCACAGGAAAGGTCAGCTCAAAGGATGGGTATCCAGATGAAATACCCATTACCGAGCCCCGTAAGCAGAGCCTCGGATTTCTTCAGCCATCGCTTACCCATGAAGACATTGCGTGGCTTACAACTGGACCTAATGACTCCTGTAACTGCTAATGTTCTTGTATTACAGCCTCTGTATGGATGAATGTTCCGCAACCGATTGCCGGTGTGCCTCCGGGACTGGAATACCTGACAATGGTCGACCGGATCGTAGTACATCAGGTGAAAAAGTGATTCAAATAGAAGTAACTGTTCACAGTGTACGGTAGACTGTAGGCAAGTAAACGGACAGAAAAATACCCGAAGACATTGTTTCATAGACAAAAATGGATCTAAATTACCAACTGTAGAGAATTAGGAATTCATGAAATGTCAGAAAAACTATTTTAGTTGGTCGAATGGAAAGAAATCCTCTTCGATTATCATGTAAAAAACAAATACGTGCTGTTGAATGCCAACGGTGAGCAGGTAAGTGTCATTAGATTCGTTATGCGTTATTAGATTTATTACGGTTAGGGCAAAATACGTTCAGAGTCTGCGATGCAGCGCGTCGCAGGCAATGACTTTGATGCTTATTGATTAGCCTTCTAAAAGCCCCACGGAAAGCTCACGTCCTGACACGTTAGTAAGTGACACTATTACACGTGAACTGTTTTAGCGCATGAATAAACGATCAATAAGTACCGAACTCACTGCCGCTCTTGCTCGCTTCGCGAACTGTAAACGCATCCTGATAGTTCCAGAGTCAAGCCTCTGTATGCGATGTTGGTGTGCTCAACAAAGAGGCTTCACAATGCATGTGGTGGATAATTTCAAGAGTGTTAGTTTGCTACAAGGTTCTCCTACCTGGAAAATACGGTAACTCAAGCTTTAAAAGATTTTTAGGAAGTCCTACGGATCACACGCCCGTTCAAATGTTGGGGAGGAGGTAATGACAATCAATTGATCGATTCAAGCCATCGATTCATCAATAATTTCAATTCCTTCAGGGTGCTGCGGATGTCTGGCCGGTATCGATTGCTGCAGCTATGATTGTACCGTTGAAGCACCGCCAGGGAATATTGTAAGCGACATTAAGGGGACCAAAGAATAGAGCATGAGCATTTTCCCCCTTCTCTCTCTTTACCCCTTATGAATTTATTTTGGGAATGTGGTCACACCACGGCAACACGGAGCTCGAAAATGCGTTCTCATCGTGTCTGCAATCTCTTCTACCTGCGTACTATCTTGCTTAGGCACCGCAATCCAAGCAGTCGCCGAGGTATAAACGCAGCCTTGGACAACAGATTGTCGCTAACTAGTCGAGCCTGCTTGGTAGTACAATTCGAACATGAGCAAGGCATTCTCATCACAAATCTTTAAGAAATGGCCCGTAATGTGTGACCAGTCCCTCTTTGCCAGATCGCCCCTCATTTCCCGTAATCCCAATCTTTATTTTTCAACTGAAATTCAGATCGGTAGAGTGGTCCAACGTCAGGCTTGCTGTGCGTCCAGTTTCGAAGTGAAAGACGTGAGTGATCAGGTGGTATTGGATATCGATGGTCCTGTTATGGCTTGTGGACGGAACGTCGAATTTCGGGTAATATAATATCGGATATTTATCAAGAACTTTGCATTGTATCTCGCAAAGGTACAAGGTTCTCTTTTGATGGGCCTTCGTCATTTATTGGCTTTCTGCCCAACTTAAAGGCACAGTTCACGATAAAAATGGTTTCTGAGACCTCCCTATAGTATGAATTCGGGGCTAACCCTTATACCATACTTGCCGTTATAAGGTCGAAAAACGTCCTGGATAGGGCACTATAAGGGGACAGAGGTTGCATCGTGTGACTGCCACACCCCTAATAAACGAATTTAAACGACTTAGTAAAGGCTACACTATCTCAAGAGACTCCCATGTAAAAAGTTCAAATAACTGGCAATAGTCCATGGCGACAGTGAAAGGCAGTTTCGGACGATTTCGGCTTTATGTAGTCATTTCTTTGCGCAATGGGAGCAAGTGAAATCTCGTCCAAACACCCCTTACATGCCATGCCATTCTCGTCACGGTGTTCTCGTACAACCTCCTCTTCCAAAACCTTTAAAAAGCCTTGAAGAATATTATTTATCGGATTTTAGCGAATTTCATCGCCCTCTCAGTTACCGGTGTACTCTACATCAACATTTTCGCTTTTAAAGCTAGAAAGGGTCCCAATTATATAATCACTAAATGAAAGAGAGGAATTTTACTTTTCTCAACATATCTGCCCTTTTCACCGTAGCCCAGTAGGGAGAGGACTGGGGAAGTTGATGAGGGCACAGGCTGGATGCGTTATTTATCCCTGGAAAACTTCTCTCAGATGCCCTACCGCCAGCTTCCAATCTTCACTCTATCCGACCCATCTCCACCCTATTCTCACCTCTGTAGGTGACGGTAGAATCGAAGAAGCAAATAAGTAAACAGATAAATAAATGAGCAAATAAATGTCTGATGGTGAGATCGCCTTTGCCAAATACCCATGTTAAACCGGACGTCCCGGAAATTTCTCGATTTCCAGGTAACAACTCCTTCTGGTGCACCGTGCGGTGACATCACAAAGAACTGGCGTGGTCTACTTCGTGAAATGTTTACAAATGCGGACAAATTCAGTGTTTCGTGTAAGTTCAAATGTTCTTTCCTCATTTATTTATCTATTTATTTATTCATTTATTTATTTATGCTGTCCCACGGCATGGGTGTATTACGGTACTTACGACTTAGAGGTAGTACTTATATAGAGGTGGTAAAAAGTCAAATGGCGCATTCTGACACGCACGGTTCGAATGCCGACTTTATATCCGCCCAAGCCAACTGAGCCTTCCACCCATCCGTAGTCGCTTTACTGGTACTGGACTTGTTCGGGAGAGTGAAGGTCCCGACTTGTGAATCGAGAAGTCATTGCATAGGCCGTATCCACATTCAATAGGTTCTAGTCAATAGTTCTACGATTCTAGTCAGTAGTCAAATGCGGGTCGCATCCCAAAATGGGATCAATTGGAGGCGAAGAAAGTGAAAAGGAGGGAAAAACGATTTCTCTACAATAAATCTGAAAAAAGATAATCGAACCGATCGTTTGGTCAACTAGCCTCCAAGCGACAACCATCGTTTTCATTGAACAGCCTCACGCTAATTCGCAAAAGCCCTCCTCTTTGCTTGACCGTTCGTCAGTGTTTGAGCTTCAAACTATTCCGCGGAAGCCACGCCCTTTTTACTTGACCATTCGCCAGTGTTTGCAAGGACCCTACTCCCTTACCACCTGTGACATCATCTCTAAGACTATCCTCCCTACGAATAAGGCTCACCGTATATCTAGTATTCCTACAGTACTTGCAGGCAGCCAGATACATCCCCATGACATACCACCACTAAAGTGTTGGACAATGTAAAATGTTGGACAACACACTGAAGCTCTAGAATGCACTCGATATTTTCGTTTTTAATTATTCCAAGGCCCAGACCACTTAAAGTATTTCAGTTCCAATGGATTTGGATGTGAAGTTGAAGGCACTTCTTCTCGGTGCAACCTTCATGATTGTAAGTGTTCATCGAAATTCCCAAGAGACGTACGCAATGATGCCGATTCTTTTCAGGATTTCGCAGAATTTGAAAATACAAAAAACACCTGATGGAATACACTCGACGTCATTTTGCACAGTGATACTTCCTGGGTTGTCATCACATCAAGTTTGTCGACAAAATTGCAATCACAGTGATCTGCTTATTTATGTGTGTATATAAAGGATAAAGCTTCCAATATCGTTTGATTCTTTCCCGGAGTGCGCCATGCATTAGCCTTTTGCTTCTGGTGCTTGGAAGGAGGAAGGGTAGGATTCACAAGCTTCCCTCATTCCCGTTTTGGATTGTGCCCACTCCTAGGATCTCCATTCTCAGGGGTGGGAAAGTTCCAACAATAACCTCTGGCTTCCATCTGGGGCAGAAAGTTATCAAGGCAAGACTTATTCGAGCAGTTACCCATCTGACAATAGACTCGTGAACCGCATATGGGATAGCTCTAGAAGTAGGCACCCTTTCCTTCCCCACAGCCGATCCAGAACCAAAGAGTCGACTGTATCAGGTTGTAGCTTGACGGGTCCTGATGGGGTTTGATACACTCATGCGTGGATGGTTTCTGCCATTGTTCCCTCTGTTCTCCAGTTTATCATGAGCACCTCAAAAAAGTTAAGAATAGCTCGAGCGGTTGTCGTCAAACAGTAAAGAGTGTCTGCCCACTTGATCTTCGGCAACACATGCTGTCAAACGGCGGCACTCCCATTTTCCCATCACCTGCAAGGTGAGAAATGCTGATTTCTGCTCGATTGTGTAAATTGGGATACGGCAAACAATGTATTTTCGGTTTGGCTTTGTCTTGGGAGTTTCCGCTAGTCATCAAAGAACAAGTAGGCGGCGTATTTCCCGACTGATATCCTTCCGATGAGCCTAGGTTCTGCAATCACTCAGATTGTAAAGAAAGGACTCCTTCTGGTAGTGTACGCCTAGCAGAGCGATGCCCTCCAAACACTTCAGGTACATTTAGGTCGGTTGAGAAGTCAACATAATGAACGACCTAGCTCCGGAACTGAGCAGACGGAAACGCGCGGCGTGGGGAGCATTCAAGAATATCGAGAGAGTAGTGAAGAAGACAGAGAACATCTGGCTCCGCGTTCATTTTTTCGATACCAGGTCCTTCCTGCTTTGACATACACCTCAGAGACTTTGACTCTACGAAAGCTGTATGATCATGCAGTGCGTCATCCACGGACGATTTCCGGAATTACCCTAAACAAGCAAGCGCAGAAGCGAATCCGAAGTTCCGGCTCCATTTCATTAAAATTAGGGACCGTCTCCCATGCGCCGAGGAATTAAAAATCAGATGAGCTGGAAAAGTCGACCGACTTGATGATGGCCACTGGATCTCTCGGAAAGTCACATGAACACCAAGACAGCCACCAGTGAGATGGTCAAGTGATACAAGTAAGAAGCTTCAATTCGGCGAATTCGGCAGCATTTTCTCGATCATCTTCAACATCAGTGTGGCTCCGCATTTCATCATTTCATTGTGGTTATCAGCGCTGATATGATAGGAACAAGAAAATATATTCGGTCAGTATCAAGATTTGGAAGATAATATGTATAGACCACATCCTGTCCAATATTTCTCAATGGGTACAGATGCAGAAATGGTCTGTTGTCGAGACAATTCGACTACTGTGCTAGAGATAAGGAAAGCACTAAGGAATCCCTCAGTACACATTGGTTTCAAAAGTCTCGTTCTCGTTGTGGCATATGATACTTGAAGTCGCAGCCGGCATTCCGTTCCGACATCAACGAACTTTTTCTCAAAGTAGTCATCAAAGACGATCTGCTCGGCACAGCACGAGAAGTTGTACACGAAAAAGGCGCTGTCATTCGAGAATTGTCTCCATTTGGAAGAAGCTAGAAAGACGGGGAAGTTGGACATTTGGATGGGCATGTCTTGTGGGAATTCAGAAAATAACTAGCCTCACGAGCCTTGCTCATCATATCTGTTATGCAACAAAAGCATCCATTTCAATCGTGCAATTATGTGCGATGCGCAATGCCCCTTTGATGTAACAGGAAGTGTCCAACCCAATAGGGTGGATGAAGCTAGAGCTCATAAGCACTTCCCAAAGCCCAAACTACGCCCGAACAGAGCCTGTGGCATCGAAATGGTTCACTACAGTTGTAATTCACGGTTGCACTGTGAGACACAACAATACCACAACCGCATTGGAATACCGTAAGGAATTACTCGAGTTTGTCAGAATCTCCAACTTCTTCAGGCGCCTGATTTCAGTGAACAGAATGAGCTCCATTCTCCTGCTAGAGATCGCTCGATCTCACATTTCAAAGGTGAGATGTTGAGCGAATGAGGCTCCGAGTCTCCGCCTAACTCACTACATCGGTAGGCCTTCCAACATTCGACCATACCTTTGCTAGCTTCTGGACAGTTGCTCAAAAGACAGAATTTTTCAAAACCAAGTTGATGCCGACAACCAGCAACCTCCTTTGCAGCCACCTGCAGCCACCAGAGTTTAGCTAGGCAAGTAGACACGAAAACCAACTTTATCCTACGAATTTCCGACATTAAACTTAATAGCTACCAGCACACGGGACTTTGCTTCCCCGAGTGATCAATGCTAATGAAGTTAACCTCACTCAATTCTCGCTGTGGTCTTTGTTCTCAACCATCAGTACACATTGGAATTAGGCTCCGATAAATCAGACCATCAAACAATGTGAAGAAACTGTTTAAACTCTTAGCAGAGCACTCGAAACACGAGAACCCTTTTCAAAGTATTCGAAAAACCATATGCTTCTCAACAGGGCACCTCAAAGACTCTCTGTGATGCTAAGCTTTCTTCTGAGTTTCGCTGACCACATGTTTGACTTCACACATCTCAAGCTAACGCAAAACAACGGGATACTGCAGCCAGTGCAAATTTTACCAGTCAACTTGCTTAGGTTCTGCTCTTTCCCAAAGGTGAGGGAGTACCAGACAGCGCAGTTCCACAGGTATGACAGTCCAGAGTTCAGGTTCCGGACCAAGCTCGCCTGGGCCGATGAACACTTCTCGAGAAAGAAAAGTCGAATTCTGGGCGTGTGAAGGATTCAGCCTGTGAGTTCAACTGTTCAACACGGCATCTGAGAAATCAGAAATCCGGTTGGATTGTAAATAGGTTGCTTAGTCAAGATGGATGTAAAAAAACCTTTTGAGCCAACACTAGCACCAATCTGAGGCTACCATACATACCCAGCAGTTACCAGTGTAGATTCACACACAAACGGCTACGAGTTCATCTTTTGCCTCCATGAATTGTGTTTTGCAAAAATTCCACGGAAGTTTTGTAAAGATGGACGTGTCTTATCAACAAACATGCATCCCGGTCCAAAACCTGAACTCTGGACTATCACAGCAGGTTATGACTACGGTCCCACACCAAATCGTTCAAATGTTCGACTTCCGCTGAAGTGAATTGGTCTTACAAGAACGTATAGAAATGGTATTCGCTCACGCGTTACAGCCAGTAGCCAGGACAACCCATAAAAAGATAAAAAGTTGTAAGTGAACTATGCTCAAAAATAACCTACTTCATGAGTGTTCGACCACAAAAACAACAAAAAACGCCAATTCTTCGAAGAGCACTTCCGTCAATATGTCGAAAGTATTGACTGGGTCTTCGCTAGTTTTCCATGAGTTTTCTTGAATTGCAAAACCGTCAAAAGCGTTCTTTTAGGAAAAATTTGTTGTTAAAGAGAATGCCTAGACCTGCCAAATGCCTATTCCGGTAAGAAAACTAACACAACTCATGGAACCTTTCTATGAGGACGTGGAACTGTTTGAGTTCATGTTCGCCAGAACCACGACTTGAATTGAGGAAACGGCTTCTTGCCAAGGAGAGATTCCGCGTCCTCGAAAAATCGTTCAGGGGCTCCCCATAGTTTCCGATCCCTCCTTTCTACAATGACACTCAGTTCTGTGAGGTCCAAAACTGAGTCAATCAATCTCAGGACCTCCTCTGCTAAGGGCTCCAATCGACAGGAGCAGAGAATTGTCATGAAAGCTAGACATTCAGACGTTTACGGGGAAGCGTGGAACATTCAAAACAAGAAGCTCTGAGAAGGCCGAGAATTCACCTATCAAAAGCTACTCCTGTGGTTGTACGAGTTTCTCATGTCTGCCACAGAAAACTTGAGAGATGAAAATGGAAGACCACCATGGATGACAAAAAATTAAATGCAAAATCCAGGTGGACCAATATGCACTACTGATATTATTAGACATCTGCAGTAAAAAAGGATGAGCTCAACTCCCAGATCCTTGAGTGGGAGCCAAGGCCATGAAAATTACTGCGACAGAACTCATTTTTGGTGGGGAAGTGCAATATCGTAACTGTTACTGTTCTGCTTTTATTTATTTTTCAATACCATTGTCTGAGAAGAAGGACAAAATGATGCAGATCTTTCTAGAGATTCGAAACTTCCCTAAGCTTAGGAGAAGGAGATCAACATTTGTACCCAAACTTAAGAATGGAGCCAGGAGTGGGATAGGGGTTGAAGGTGGTGGGTGAACACCTCTCACAAAATTTAGGGTTATCATTGAACGCAAAGTACTTCCCTTACTGTGATAGCAGTCAATCCTTTCCATGACAAAAGTTTACTCTCCCTCTTAGGTTGTTTTACACCCAATTTTTATTGCCATATCACTAACAGCTTTCGTTTGACGTGCTATTGAGCGGTTTTAAATAAATAAGTAAACAAATAAATGCTCATACTCAATAGTTGTACATTATTCGCAGACTTCATGTGTAAACAGTACGATAGTCATATTTGCTTACCTGTTCGGAAGATTTGTACAGTAACTTCATGTTCGATGCTTGGAGCCTGGTAAACAGCAGCCTGACGGCAATGAATGGCATCGATCTGCCCGATCTCTCAACGGAATATCAACAACCAAAGAACCATGGTTCGAGAGTGGCAGCTCAAATACCATGATTATTTCTGAAGAAAAACTTCCATGATAAGAAAAACAAGTTTACTGACAACAAGTAAACAATAGCAAATAAATAGGCTGACCTCAGCTGAGAGGGACTCCGCAAAGTGAAACAAGGACGATTGGACTGCTTATGGCGACTGGGGCATTTTTTGGCGCCAGTGGGATTCGATCCAGGTTTTGATCCCCAGACCACACAACAGCGCTTAAAATGAAGAAGTCCTTTTTTGAGTTGAATTGATGTGAATAATGATGTTTTCTTGAGAATAAACACGAAAATTAGCAAACTTGTACGGTTTTTCTTGCGGATAGCCCAAGTTTTCGGAATTAAAGTAGTTCGAGATAGAAAAGGACTCCATTACCTGTTTATCCTCGACTTTGTTGATCGGTATCCCGTCGATACAAAATTGGCCTTCCGCCGATTTCCTCTCATACACAAACTTCAGAAGTCCGGGGAATAAATTCAGAGATTGAACTCGTTCACTACTTACTCATAATCTCTTCAATACAAAATCCAAAAAGTCGGAAATCATAGTATCAAAAACAGAAGATGAGCCTAACAAAACCCACAAATTATAAGGAGCTCCGTTTATTGGTAAATATAATATGTTGATGCTTCAGCTTGTACCCAATAGTACGAACAACAGCGATCTATCTGGCTGGTATTTCAATGTTGGCAAATCTCGAAGATAGAGATCACTTCAAAAATCCCTCTAATGGGAAAGGATTTTGGAGTAATCTATATGTCTCAAGGGTTGCGCCACGCATTCGACTCCCAGATAAAGTCGTAAAAGCGTTTTGAATGCGTGTGTGGCCTATACAATGACTTGCTGTGACCAGCCGTTGTACAGGTCCCTGTTTTGATCCTTTCAGTCGAGTCTGTACCGACCTCCGGTTGATGGAAGATTCGGTTGGCTAGGCAGATATCGATCCGGGATCCAAACCCGGACCATGCATGTGTGAAGGGCGCCACTTGGCATTATACCATTACTACACGGCTCAAATGTATATTCTCTAACTTCGGGGAAAGTAGACTACTCTTCGGAATATGTGTAAAAATATATGCCAGGCGTCCTGGACTTAAAACTGCAATTCCAATTCTGCACGAGAATGTGAATCTAAACTCGAATTTGATGACCCCTCAATGGTCTTTTTCTCATCATTTTTTAGCGATCGTTTCGATGATCATTAGAGATTTCTGTCTCCATCTACATCATCACGTAAACTGCCCCTCTGCACGTACTCGTCAACTGGTAGTCATTGACATTTTGACAGTTCTGTTCGGTCAAGGAGGTCTTTTTTTTTGATTTATGAGTTTCTTCGTCCAATATGCATTGCCTTGGAATGCGCATGAATAATAATTATGACAGGAGACCCTGTGAAATATGTGTTTGGTGGCCGTCCGTGAACCTGCAAAACCTTCAAAACTTCACGGAATCTCTTTTTGTTCACGTGGGATGACGTCGAAGACGCCAGACACCACCTAAACATGCTATGTAAATTCTCAACGAAAAAACTGTCAAAATCATTGTACAATTTTGAAAGGAGTGAAGTTCATATTTGCAGACGGCCTAGTCCATAGTGCGGGTTTGCTGATGCCTTGCAGAATGGCAATCATATGATTCTTGAGAAGGACTGTTCACTTTACCCAAGACGAATACCATTCAGTACTGTACAAAGGATTGGCCTTCAAAAACTAGAGCCACCTATCTGGGGTCTGAGCCGGAACTGGCCCCTCTGAAGCCCCAGAAAACCCCAAAATGAGAGACGACAAAGTCTTTTCCCCACTTTCCCAAATGGGTTTCGTACTGGAGACAATGGACATGCTTCGGAAGTCTTTGAGTTTTGTAGCTTTCATTCGAAGAAAATAGCCCTGTTGAAAGTAAATATTAGATAGCTCATTCTTCCAGACTAGGCCAGGCACTTAGGCTCCTCTCAAGATCGCCATTTGCTTGTATCCTGATGTCTAGGAGAGTTGAATAGCAGTAAGCATGGGTCAATGCGGTATTTCGACCTCTCCCAGCCACCCATACAATTCTGGAATCGTCTGGGAGGAATATCCCAGACGATTCTAGACGAATCTGGCTCGTCGGATCATCGGACCAAATGAGGAGGAATGAAAGGCTGGAATAGCTCAGGCAGATTCGATTCCACCAGTGCTCAGAACCGTAAGCCAGTCCGTTGACTTACAGAAGCTTGACATCAGAACTCACTTGTGAAGGTTCCCTTGGACTTGAGATTGTTTATAAATATCTGACGGATCCAAACAAATAAATTTCTTTTGAGAACTATTTCTTACTTTGAAAACATTCATGACAGTCTAGACCTTTTGCAATGTCTCATAAAAACATTCTGAGCCGACTACACCCCCTACATGATTATGAAAACCAAAAGATCGGGTCCAAAAAACTCTCTGGCAAACTGGTTTTGAAGTAGTCAACAACAATGAAACGTTGATCAGAAGTTACATAGGAATTTAGGTCCACATTTACACTACATTCAATTGATGTATGTGGATGGTGTTGAGAGCAAACAAATGTCTGAACGTTCGTTGAAGTTCACCTGTGTCAGGTTTGGTGCCAGAGATTACCCTAAGCGCCAGACCCCCAGAATTTAGGGCCGATGGATGGCAAGAGCAACGTTCTGCTGACAAATATTTCAAAATACGTCTAAACAAATTCGAAAGGGACCAAAGGGCGAAAGAACAGGTTATTTCTTCATTTGGTATAGGCAAAATACTCGTCATTCACATAGTTACTTGAACTGAAATAGCTCGATCAGTCGTGTTCGCCAAAATAACCTCAAACTTGGTCGTTCATGCGGAAAACACGGTACTCAGGTAACAATTGAAATGATTCTATTCACCTTCAAGTGTGGCCTTCTTCCCGGGATTATTCACCAATAACCATGACGTGATGGCCTCTGTCTGGAGGTTACTTTTGAAAGGAATGACGTGACGATCTTTGACGCATCGGCAAACGTTGCCGATCTTCGATCTTCAACGGAGGTTGAAATGAGAGCGTGGGGTTGCGCTGATCCCATGCTTTGTGTTCCCGATTCTTTCAATAACGGAGGAAAAATGATGCTAAGGGAACTCNTTCATTCTGCAAAACAGACTTCAAAAACTTATTTTTTCTGTTTGATTGTTAAGGGAATGTCGATTTTAAGAGCTAAGGGAGTCCGACAAACTTAAATAGAAAGTAACAAGGTAAAGTATGAAACAAACGATCACTCCCTTCTCGGGGATGCGCCCCGCATTCGACTTCCACTCGGAACCGTGGTGGCGTATTGAATGCGAATACAGCCAATAAATGACTTTCGGTGCCCAGCCGATGTACAAGTCGAAGCTTTTGTCTCTAAAGACAAATCTGATACCAGTTGGCCTTTCTCGAAGGGATGGAATGCTTACCTAGCTTGAGTGAGGATCGAACCAGGCTGTTCGAACTCCTACCTTTCCAAAAAGCCCGAATATACCCGTGGACCCTCCTCAAAGAGATCTCTTGGCTAAATTCACTTTCGAAGGCAGGAATGTTGAAACACAGTTCTCTCTGTCGGACGGGGTCGAAGGACTATGTAGGGCTTGTTTTGTCACTTCGAATTACTAGATAGGCCGATACAGGAGTTTCTACTTGCGACATAAACAAATCAAACCTCAAAAACCTAACTTGACTGCCGAAACGAAATCAATGGTAAACAAGAAGGTGCTATCTAAACTATCAGCTATCCAAACTAGCATTGCACTTTAAAAAAAGAGAGAAAAAAGGAAAAAGAAGAGAGAGACAAAAGAGAAAGACTGAGAAAAAGAAAATAATTCTTAGGTGATCTCAATTCGTCTTGAGAGTATTATACATTTTTGCGACGATTTTTGTCAATAATTCGTTGTTACTGCCGTTTCTTGTCTTTGTTTACTAATAGTCCGAAATTTGTTGACTTCTTCTAATGATAGTGCTAGTTTTTCTAGAATGAACTCTTGTTGAAGTGGGAATCGGTGTGATTGTGTTCGGGAACTGGTCTTCTATAGAACTTCTTTCCCGAACCACTTAAACGGGTCCCTATGTTACATTGTACGAAACCTTCACGCCGCATTAGCAAGTTGTAAACATCCTACGACACCCGGCAAAGACCTGCTTCAAGGGAAATCAGTCCCGAATGTTTAAACTTAGCTAGTTTTCATACAACACAAGCCATTTACCACCGTTTTTCTCATGGCTTCTATGAAGGTGGAGTCAATCTATTCAAGTTTGACAGAGGAATGATCAGGAAAACCTTGAGCTACTCCGGGTTCTCACCCAAACCGCCCTTTACACCTGGAATCCATAGTTTGAACCACAGAGTTACAGTAGTACACGTCAATTTTATCAGAGCGGTTCCACTTTTCATCGATGGAACTCCTAGTTCACGGAGGATCGTCCCTCATGTGCTCCCACATTACCCTGAGTCACAGGTTACAGGGAAGGGAAAGAGGAATTCTTGTGATTGTGCCTTCCACGTGACTGTGGAAGAAATTTCGTCGAATCAAGCAAGACAACTACCGTTTCGTTGAAAAAGGACAGCTCAATTATGGGTAGGGTCAAGGGAGATTCGTGGAATTCATGGCCGAACGAGTTTTGGCTCTCATAGAGGACGTGTTTACTGAGTTGGCATAAATAGAACGAGCCAAATTGACTAAATTCACAAAAAAANAAAAAAATTCCAGATTATTCAAAATTCTAATAAGTTAAGTATATTTCTGACAAAAGAAATAGATTTTTATGAGGTGATCCCAATGGGAATCCGTGTCCTCCAACTTTCTCGGACCCCCTTTACCTCCCTCCCCCTTCAGGGCTTTTGGAAAGCTGGATGGGAAATTTTATTTTGGAACAAATCTAGGGTTCTTATAGCAGAAAGGAAGGGGGAGGGGGAGGGGGAAGGAGGGGAGGAAGTTGGAGGAAGGAAAGGAAGGTTTATCAATATCCGGTCTATCTTTGGGAACATAGTCTTGTGGATGACTACGGTAGAACCATATGACCAAAATATGGGGTAAATGGCCAGAAAAACTGAACCCATTGCCTAGAAACACAGAAGGCACCATTTCGGGCTCCTGGGCTTTATTACCCTTATTTTTGCCCCAGAGATGTCTCTTGAAATGTTATTTACTGACCATTGAACTACAGTAATTTCAATGTCGCCAAGGTGAGACCTGTTGTTGGGAATCACGTGTTTTTCCAGTACATCAAAGCAAATTCTTATCTGTTGTTGTCAGTCACTTCTACCTAATTAGCGATGTTTCGAGAAGTTATCACGTGATCAGTGGATTACGGTACGTGAACGATATGAAAAACGGTACCTGCCAACATGAATTTTCGTAGAAAAATGGCTGATGGCTTGAGTGACATTAGCACGTTCAAAACAAAACTGGAACCTGAAAAAGTGCCAAGTGGAGATGGTATAGAAACGAGGCTACTCTGCTGACACTTACAGATTCTTTAAAGATCAAATCCTGACGGGGTTAACTGAGCCCATCTCAATTATGAATTTGTCTTTCGACTTCAAACTGTTGTTCACCACTTCTCATATGTTCACAACCGAGACAAGTAGCGCTCCAACACTCAACCGGTCATAGGATTGGAACCTTGGCAAGATCAAGATGGAGACAGAATCTCACCCAAACCGTTCATCTTCTGATTGCTGAGCCCATCAACCTGTACGGTGCCTAATAGGGAAGATATAGACTCGGAGTTATGAAGACTGACTGCTATAAGCTATTGCTCTTTTTCAGAAACACATCCAAACGCTTCTAAGATTTTGAATGAAGGCTGATTACATGGCGCAAACCTGAGATAAGGTCGATCAAAGCTGAGCTGGTCCTTTTTATCCATTTTTACGTTCGAGTAAGAGATTCAGAAAGAATAGCCTTCGAGCACTTGCGAAGACTTTCGAAATCGGGCTTTCTTCAAGTTTTTAATTTTTTCAGACCTGGCTCCATTTCTAATTCCAGGGGTCACTTCAAAAGTTGAATTTTGACTAACAAGTGAAAAATTATCAACTTCAAGTATTCTATTACTAAATTTACCCTTTTTTTCAAAAAGATACGATTAATCTGGCTAACAAGTCAACCGCCACCTAGTGATGGCAAAATTTTTGTTTGTTGAAGGTTATCAGGACGAATTTCAGACTTTTCACGGCTAGATTTCTGTTGTGAGCCCCAGTAAACAAACCTAAAATAAACAAATATTAAGTCGATCTACGAATGTAGACAAAGTAAACAAAGTATCAAGAAGATTTTCGATAGTACACATTTATTAGTCTCGATATGATCATGACAGAATGTAGTTACAAGGGGTAATCGAATAGATCACTAGCCTACACAAAGATGAAAAGGCCTCAATATAAAAATACAATACACCATAATCACCTGGATGGTGTAGGTGGCATCATCAGAAGCTTCATCCGACTACAGACGACGTACAGAAAAAGGTAACAATATAGTTCAACTATACATACAACCCGAAGGTGAACATGAAGTAGCGTTCATACTACGACGACGAGAGGAAAAGGAAAAGAAGAGCTAAAATCAATAGATGTCAGCTGATTACGGTGACAAGGCATTCGAATCAGGATCTTCATTCAGAAGTTGTTCAATGAAGGGCTGAACAACATCACCATGGCTCCAGGCGGTTGGATGGAAACGGAAGCGAGGACGGCCCTGAAAAAGGAAGAGAATTACTCGATGAACGGGTAACTCAGGTTACCCTCCATTTACTTCTTGGAAAGGCAACTTTTCAAGATATCCAGGAGGTTTGTTCATTTGTAAACTGTTTATCAGATCAGAAAATATTGATTATCAGCAGTAAACAATTTACATTTGACTGGAGGGGCCATGATGTCATGTTTTGAAAAAAATAATCAAATGAATAAGTCAATTAAAAAAATAAACAAGTCAGTAGGTAAACAGTTGAGTAGATATGCTGGTAGGTAAACAAGTAAACAGAAAATTTGAAAGCGAACAAGTAGGAATAAATGGGTCACTGATGTTGTTGTATACCTATCAGATGTTCAATCCAGAATAATTATAATTTCCTACCGTAGCGGTACTCAACTAGTAGAAAAAAGTTGATTTCTCTATGTTTATTGTTATTTTGTCCCAAATGTTTACTTCTCCGTATAAACAAATAAATAAATAAGTAAAATCAATAATCAGCAACAGTCCGAATGCAATTACCTGTCTGTCGATGAGGAATTTTTCGAAGTTCCACGTGATGTCGTTGGCTCGGACTGGATTGTACATCAGCTCGTCGGTCTTTCCAATTTTCTCAACCGTCTGGGGACAGCTCTCCTGAAACACAAAAGAATTCAGCTCTGAGAATCTCTCGAGTTTATTTGTACAGCCATGAAAGAGTGTAGGGAATGTCGGGTAGCCATTCTAACTAACCGCACGATTTCTCGGGATGAAAGTGAAAATGTCAACGAAATTACCTACTCGAGCTTCGACTGTGATTCAGTTTTGGGTATTCTGAGTATTTTCAAATTTGGTTTATCAGCCTAACTTCCCATTTCGAAAGATACAAGGCAAATATGAGGCTGGGCCTAGAAATAGAGCGGCTAAGCTGCAAGTGCATGGCGCACCCCTTAGTGGTTTTCTTGAGCAGGACAACTCGAGAATAGCTCAACAGCAAGAAAACTATCCAAGCTGGCAAGCTACTCCTCTGACTTCCAAAGCTTCCAGTGCTACCACTGCCTATAAGAAGCTAAAACGCAGCGTTGACGCACATTCCAAAATGCGCCGTGCAATTGACCTTAGTTCAGATTCTTGGTAACCTTTGTAAGGGTACTGTTCTCACAACAATGTCTTGTGAGGGTCGAGTGATGGTCGGGGAAAGCTGGAGCCATTAAAGTCTTCTCTGGCGTGTTCATTTCAAAAATAAGGACAAGCCGCCGGGTGTTGGTTCCTCTGCCAATGCTGCGCCATGCTCTTCGCCTCCATTCAAGTCAGGAGGCATCTGACTAGGTATAAGGCATACCTAAAGACCTTCAGGTGTGCAGCTTATTCAACAGACTGTGTGTTCGAGTTACCTCTTCCTTTTCACTATGTGAGATTCCGCAAGGAATTCCCCTTCCCCGAAACGCATTGGAATGTCGCAATTACGGCATTAACGAGAACTTAGTTCGAACCCGAACCCTGAACCCAATTAATTCCGATGTCGACGTTTTACAAAAGCGTGACCGGAATTATCAGCGAAGAAAACTGATTGATGAGTTCGACGACGACGATGACAACAACGCGATCGCCGTAGGACACAATGACAACGAGGTTGCGCTCGCTAGCTATGTATATGGGTATATTACCGTGGACACCGACGACGGTCACACCATCTTCAATCCATCACCTTCCCCTGTCTATCGCGTTTCCCGTCTCGACGATGGCGTCGATGACAAAACGGGAAACCGGTTACACTGCGATAAGGGCGCCGCTTGGGTCTTTGTCATTTCCTTTATTAATATCTCTGTAAGTATGAAAGGTATGGCATGGAGCCAGGTCCAAAAAACTTTCCTTAACTGAGTTTTAGTGCTTGGGTAGTAGATGAGGGCGCGTCATTTACTAATCAATCTGCTGATGGAAATTTGAATGAAACAGATGATATAAATCAAAGGAATCACTCATAGCTACACTCAAAAATTGGATTTGGTTTTTTTTTCCGAAGAGTGATATGACGAAGAGACATGGGAAGAAGGTCCGACCTCACACATGCATAATTATGGATCAAATCCTGTCCAGGGCAACTAAGCATTTTATCCCCTTGTGATCGACTGATTATTGCGAAATTTGACTTAAATTAAAAAATCAAAGCGTATAATCACACCAAAACCCCGTTGTATTGTCTACACTACCATTCAATTACGTACACCTCTCAAAGGGGAATACGATTGCATGGCGCATCCCATAAACCCAATCAAATGCCCATCTAATTGCTGGCGAATGCTCGAAAACATGAAAAATAGATAAAGTGAAGCAAGCGTTTAGCGATTGTCCCCATTCTGATATGCGCCATGCCCTCGACACCCATTCAGATTGCTCGCAACGATTCGAACGATGCTTTGCCTATACAATGGTGACTTGGAGGAGCCAATCTATTCTAGACTCGATCCCTAGACTGGGATCTTTGGTAACGGCGCCTCTTTCTCTCCTACCAGATCCACACAAAACAGTGACCGGTCACTGACCTTGAGGAATTCGTAAAGAGGATGATGGTTCTCTCCGTTGACGTCAATCTTTCCGTAGATGTGTAGATTCTGATGTGGTTTCCATCCGTTACCCGGTCGGACGTACATGATGCCATTCATGAGTTCATGATTTTCAGCTGGTTCCTGGAACGACAGATAGAAATAACTGTCATCATCAATCACTAGGGGCATTTATGCTTTGTTCCGTTCCTGTTCTCAATGTCAGCTAGCAAACTAACCTGCAGATAGAACTGGTTACATGGGAATGCCAAAATTGTGAAGCCTCCATTAACGTTCTTTTCGATCAACGGATTGAAATCGGTGTATTGTTGAGTGTAAGCTGAAAAGTTTTTAAAAATTATTCTTTGATCTTTGCCGTTCGATGATCCAGTTTTCTTTGACGGCAGCTGATCGGGTGCGCTGCAATGTTAAGTGTTTGCATGACGTGGTGTATGCCAACACCTCACCTCCGACCCCCACCCCACGCAAACGGAAAATTACGTGAGATACCCGTACCCGACTTCTGTTTACCCATTCGTTCCGTTTCTATCTTCGGCTTAAGTTACGTAGTCTTTTGCTGAACCCACATCTTGGGTTCACGTACGCCCAGGTCTCTAATGGGAATCCAGTCCCCGGGTTCAGGTAAACATAGGTTTTCATTGGGACGGGGTAAAAAGAATTTGGTACAAGATCAAGATTCCACGGAGATACTAACCGTAAAGTTATATGTGGCTGGATATCTACAGGCAGTGCATTTTATTTCACGGCAGTTGCTATACCAAACAATCGTCAGTTCAAAGTGACACTCCAATTCAACTACCAATTCTGATGAAATATCCCCCGAAGTGATCAAAAGGAGGGTTTAGTACTCTTCCCGTCCCTCTCTTTGGTTCTGAAAGTCAAAAAACTGAATTATCGTGGGATGAGGTGTGTTGCCCGCAACCACGCTACACTTGCTACATATTATTTTACGACTCTCGATACTGTAGGAGTTAGGATGCGTGCTGGATACATCAAACCGAGACTTCTAGAGATTCAAAACCCGCCTAGATCCCTTTTTGCTGACGTCCTTTCAAAATATTTCCAAGGCATAGAAATATGATAGATCGGCTGGTAGACTTATAAAAAGATATCAGACATGGCGATCACATAAAATCAGGTTTTCAACATGAATAATGCCCACATTTTTGCACCTTATAGATCGCAAAGATAATCAGGGAACAATCTTTTCCATACAGCAAATGGGTTTTCACAGGGTTCCCTGGCTCTCGCTTACCCACCGAAAATGCTTCAATAAGAGCCCGATGTACGGAAAATTCTCGGAATGAAGGGAGACGCACTCTTTTTTGAAGTAAGGATAAGAGATAAGGTAATCATGGATAATTTCGCTTTACCTATTACTTGTTTACTTATTATTCACGGATTATTTTATTTATTTTTTTATTTCTGAACTTTTGAAGAAAATTTCTGAAAATTGAGTAAATATGTTACTGGCTGTCTGGGACTGACAACAAGTTTTTAATGTTATGAAGCACTTTCACAGCCAAAATGATGAAGGATGAAGCTACTAGAGATGAATAGCTTCGTTTGTGGGCTACGCCATGCACTGGACTCCAATTTGGAGTCGTACAAGGGTTTGAATGCACATTTAGCATACAGAACAGCTGCGTTCCTAAGAAATGGATGATTCCTGCCCTTCGAATGATCGTGGTAACAACTTGATGGCTACGAGAAGACGAAAAGCCCGGTCAACTGTGACTAAACTCGATCTAGTATCTGGGAAATTTATCCTGGAATAAAATCCCCAGACCATCGATGCCGGAGCAACGCTACAGCCTTTCAGCACCCCATACCCGCCCATGACCTCATTTTTCTTGCCTTTTCGATGCTAATGAATAGCAAATTTCCAGGAACCGGTCGATTCTCCTAGTAAAAGTGGTCGGAATGAATGTGATGACAACAGTAATGAACTCAGTTAATTATAGTTTTATTGCGTTATATTTCTATCCCGATGGCTCTATCGATCGATTACTGTTTTCTGATAAAAAAGTGATCAATCAGGCATCGACAGCGACTGTCCCATGTGGAATTAGGTCTACGATATCGACGATTATCGTATCGGACTTTCTATATAAACGTCTAGTTCGAGAAGTAGCCGATCCATGACCCCAACAGGGATAGAAAGAAAAGAAATCAACCAAAATGATTGATTTTATTTACTTTTCCATTTATGGGTGGATTCGTAGGCATCACACGATTGATTTGTTTATTTATTTACCCCATTCATAAAGATATCCTGAGTTATCATCAATTACTATCAAATAATCAACTATCATCCATTACCCTTACTTTTTTGCCTTCAGATGGTTGCTTACTATGAAAGGAATTTCAAGAATTACAACCGAATTGAACGTGCACGGTGACCGGTCCTCCAAACCACCCATACCCATTGTGTCTCGACCAAAGTACTTGTTTTTTCTCCCCAGGTCAGGTAAAAGGTAACGTCGTAAGCGTAACCAAGTAACTTACTTTTACTTGAGTTACTACGTAATTACTCCAGTGAGGTTTCTAGTAGCTTTTTAAAAAGTTAGAACAACTTTTAATTGAGATGGTTACGGTCACGGTGGTATTGTAACTTTTACTACCACAGCTACCACATTACTGGTAGACCATAATGGGTAACACAAGAGGGTTAACTGTGTCCAAAAGGTAATCATTCCAAGAGGGGACAAATTTTATGTAATTGCTTTGCTCTCGAAAAAATGAAAATTTGATTATGTCGGGGAATTCATAAGTTTGAACGGCGGATTCTCTATGCACTCCACCCAACCAAAAGGGAGCCTACCCATTACGTACAGACTTCAAAGGGTCCCCATANACCCATTAGCGACCAAAAACTTGCCGACCCATTCAGGCTAGGAGATTTAATGGTATATTTAATTGCAATGAATGAGTGTTTGACAATTGGACGATCCAGTTTGATCACCAAAATGTCAAAAGGGGCTCATCAAATAGTTCATCGACAGGAGCGATGCTTCTGCACCATCCGGAACCAAATGCGATTCTCTGGGTTTTTCAAAAAACCCAGGAGAATGGCGAACCTAGGACTGCATGGGCTTTGGCCCCTCAGTGGGGCTAGACCCCTGCTAAGGTTAAATGTCGAAACGAAAAGTAAAGTTTCTACAGGAGAAAGGTGAAAGACCTCATCCTGGGTAGGTACAGGCACCGCTCCGGGTGTCGAGACCAGAACTGTTCATTGTGCCAGGACCCTTCAAGTTCGCTAAGATACTGAAGGTCCTAGCACGATCATCCGACCCACGTGGCACGTCCTGACCCGTACTAGCTGCGGGTTTTTTCAGTGGCCGTTGAGGGGAGAAAACAGGGAAAGCATGGGGAAGTGCACCAACGTGACACGTTTTTTTTCCGAGTATTTGCACAATATAAAACCCTTGTACTCGGTGCCTTCTTAAGCTTCGAGTTTCGATTGATGACATGGGAAATTAGCAGC